CCCAGCTACTTGGGAGGCGGAGGCAGGAGACTCGCTTGAGCCCAGGAGTTGGAGGTTGCTGTGAGCTGTGATGCCACAGCACTCTACCCAGGGGACAGCTTGAGGCTCTGTCTCAAAAAAAAAAAAAGAAAGAAATAGACAATATATCTTCTCTGACTTTATTCCTTTCTGGCTGGGTAATGTTGATTATAAACGTCCTCCTAAGTTTTAGTTAAACTAAAATACCTTCCTGAAGAGAATACCATAAAGATTAAATGAGGTAATGAGAGAGTCAGTAAATTTTAGTTTTTTTCTCCCTGTTTTTTCCCCACACATCTCTTTTACCTTAATCCTTGCTCTTTAATTTAGTACTTAGTCAGTTGTTCTTTATGGTTTTCTTTTCTCCAAGTTTTCTTGACTATAAAAAGCTTACCTAATACTGGTTTTATATCTTTCCTCATGGTTGATGGATAGATTCTCAGTAGATACTCGGTTGATGGATTACTTGGTTGATATTAGCCTTATTAGTTAAAGAGTGATATTTCTAGAGATTCTCTGTTGTTCCTGTTTAGGTATACCTGACTAATCCATAGCTGAAATTCCTCCACCATAGTTCTACACTAAGGAAAGCATCAAAGTCTCTTGGAACCTCACAGCTTCTTTATTGTTAACTTTAGCAATTGGCACACCGTGCTGGCACACGAGGCTTCCTTCGATATGGCTGGCGCTGGGGTTGGAGGACTGCAATGTTTGTGACTATTTTCAAGTAAGTTCTCTCTAAATTATGATGTACTAAATTGCCTTGATATTCCTTTAGGAGTGTATCTTTTGAGCAAGTGGGATTATAAAAACTGAATGCCCACATGAAAGTGATTCACAATACCTTTTTCTCAAGAACTTGATCCAATAGTTTTACATCTATGATGAAAATCTGGAACACATTAAAGGGGCTTAGACTAGAACCAGGGATTAATACAGTAGGCTCTTCTAAATATTGCTTCAGTGAAAATAGCACTCAAGGTAAATAGGATATGCTGTAAATCTTTTGTTTTCCTTTTTCTTCCTTCTTCCCAGCACAGTAAACACCAGCCTAACTGTGTACCGAAATAAAAATGCACTAAGCCATTTTGTCATTGCAGGAGGTAAGACATTTTTTTTCTTGCTGATATTTCTCAATCTTCTCAAATATGGTTTAGATTTAAACAGATAAGGATTTATAAATCAGAACTAATGAACTCTTTGGTTGGTGTCTTACCACGTCTCATTAGGATTCATGCAAAATGTATTTATGGAGAACCTTGTGCTTGGCCTTTGGTATACTTAATGAACAAACAGCAAGGTCCTTGCTCCCACTGAATTTTTAACTGTAATATACACGGGAAAGAATAAGTTGCTGTGATAGAAACAGGTGTGGGCCATGGAAGCTAACATGGACACGTGGTCAGAGAAAGTCTTTCTAAGGAAGTGACGTTTAAGCTGATACCTAAGGAACGGGAAGGAGCAGTCTTGCAAAGAAGAGTGTCTTAAGCAAGAAAACATCAAAGGGGAAGGCTCTAAGGCAGGCGTCCTCAAACTACGGCCCGCGGGGACATTTATCCAGCTCACTGGGTGTTTTTGCCACCGCTGCCTGTTCTGCTTAGCAGCCAACTCATCCTGGGGCCTGCAGTCCAGCCCTCCAATGGTCTGAGGGACAGTGAACTGGCCCCCTGTTTAAAAAGTTTGAGGACCTCTGCTCTAAGGCATAGGGAAGCTTGGGGAAATGTTGGTCAGAGGTTATAAAATTTTGGAAAGAATGAGTTCAAATCAATTGTATAACATGGTAACTATGGTTAATAACAATGGATTATATGCCTGAAAATTGCCAAAGGAATAGATACTAAGTATTCTCACCACAGAAAAAGGTAAGTATATGAGGTAATTATATGTTGATTAGCTTGGTTAGACATTTTACAATATATGTGTAATTCAAAATATATTTTATGCTATAAATATATAATTTTTATTTATTAATTAAAATAATGTTTAAATGAGCATTAAAAAGAAAAAACATTTCAAAAAGGTCCATGAAGTTAACTTCCATATATACTTAATCACTCAGTAAATCATGTACATTCTCTTACATACAAAAACACAGAGATATGCTGAATATAACATTCCTTTTTTTTTTGAGACAGAGTCTCACTTTGTCACCCTCAGTAGAGTACAGCGACATCATAGCTCACAGCAACCTCAAACTCCTGGGCTCAAGTGATTTCTCTTGCCTCAGCCTCCCAAGTAGTTGGGACTACAGGTGCCTGCCACAATATCCAGCTATTTTTAGAGACAAGGTTTCGCTCTGGCCCAGGCTATTCTCAAACCTGTGAGCTCAGGCAATCGACCTGCCTTGGCCTCCCAAGTGCTGAGATTATATATTGAGCCGCCGTGCCTGGCTGAATATAACATTCTTAAAATATTTTACTTGGAAATAATCTCAAATGTACAAAAGGCTACAAAATTTAAAACTAATAGAATATCTATTCCCTTTATGTAGAGATTTAGCCATTGTTACTAGTTACCCTATTTCCTTTATCTTCTTGCTCCTGGGGTCACTCTCTTTCTCTACATGTGTGTATATACACATAAGAAAACTTATATATAAATAATGTGAACTTAAAATTTTAATGAAAAGTTTAAAAAATGTAAAGCTCGAAGTAGGCCACGTGTGGTGGCTCACGCCTATAATCCTAGCGTTCTGGGAGGCCACAACAGATGGATTGCTTGAGCTTATGAGTTGGAGAGCAGCCTGAGCAAGAGGGAGACCCCATCTCTACTAAAAATAGAAAAACTAGCCACGCACTGTGGTGGGCGCCTGTAGTCCCACCTACTGGGGAGACTGAGGCAAGAGGATTGGTCAAGCCCAGGAGTTTGAGGTTGCTGCTGTGAGCTATGAAGCCATAGCACTGTAGCCTGGGCAACAGAGTGAGACTCAGTATCGAAAATAATCAATCAATCAATCAATTAATCAATCTAGAAATAGCTGGGCACAGTGGCATGTGCCTGTAGTCTCAGCTACTCCAGGGGCTGAGGCAGAATGTTCATACCACTGTGCTCCAGTTTGGGCAACAGAGCAAGACCCCATCTCTTGGGGAAAAAAGCAAAAACTACAAATAGCCGTTAATAGCATTGGAACAGCTAGAATGTGTCATTATTTTTTCTTTTTTTTTTTTAATTGTTAGGGATTCCTTGAGGGTGCAAGAAACCAGGTTACACTGATTGCATTTATTAGGTAAAGTCCCTCTTACAATCATATCTTACCCCCAAAAGGTATGGCACATACCAAGACCCCACTTCCCCCTTCTTCCCTCTCTCTGCTCTTCCTTTCCCCCACCTCTCCCTCCTTCTTTCTCTCACTGCTCTCCCCTTCCCCCACCCCCACCATATCATTAATGTCATTAATTGTTCTCATATCAAAATTGAGTACATAAGATTCATGCTTCTCCATTCTTGTGATGCTTTACTAAGAATAAGATGTTCCACCTCCATCCACGTTAATACAAAGGCTATAAAGTCTCCTTTTTTTTTTTGAGACAGAG